ATCGCGGACATGCCAGTGAAATCGCGTACCATATTATTTATTAAAAAAGTATATTTTTATATATAACATCTTTATAAAAAATCAACTTAATTGCAATGTAAAATTTATCTTTGTCATACAATTATGACTGAATACAATTGTTCGATATTCTATACATTACATAATCAATATTTTTTTAGAAAATTATATATATTTGTATGACATAGAAGATTTTGTATTTTATCTTCTAATTTACTTTGTTATTTACATTAATAAAATATGGAGCGTGTTAATTTACGCAATTAAGAAATTTCAAGGAAATACAATCGCAATGGAAACTTATAAATAATTCTAATCTCTTGTACGCGATTATCTTATCTAATTTTCGCTTGGAAAACTATTATAAAGATAAAGCAACCTTGATAGTAATATCGTAATGTACTACGATGTTATAAGCAGCACATCGATAGAATTATCGCGCGGTAGAATATAAATTATCATTTAGAGAAGCGTAGTTTCCGCAATCATCATTTAGAGAAGCGTAGTTTCCACAAAACGTGATTCACTTTAAACGTGATTACTTTTGCGTATTTTATAGTCACAAATCGTAATAAAATTAGTAAGTCGTAATAAAAATATCTACTCTCGTAAAAATCATATATTCTGATACACATTTCATTTTTGACAATGAAATAGAACAGTTTTTACACAATTGTTTATAGTTCATAATTTTTCGTTTTAATGAAACATTTATGTATCGACAAATTATCATCAATGTATTGCGTATCAGTGACGTAATAAAAATCTAATGTATGAAGGGAAATTCCACAGTAAGGACACTTCGAATATTCAACGCAAGGGAACGGAATAACGTCGGGATGGTACGTGATATCCAAACTCCAGGGCCTCATAAAACATGGAGCTTTCTGTAAAACGTATAACGTGAATCGAGGCACCCAAGAGTATCGAGAATTAAATTTTTCAAGCCTCTACCATCCTGCGCGCTGCGAAGAACATAGTGCTGACCTCACTTAATGTACTTTTACGACGGAGTATCTCTCGCGCCGTGCTTTTAACTTCCGTTCCCGGTTGAATAACACAATAGCAGATCGTGGATCAATAATTAGGGCGGAAATTACGATTATTCGCAGTAATGATTCTCAATATCACGGCGTCCTAAATGGCGCAAGAACCGTTTTCCTAAGGGAATCGTGTATCTCTCTTTCTCTTTACTTTTTTAGACTCCAATTGGGAACGAATAATGGTGATTTATGAAAAAAAGCATTGATTTAAATGTAACTGTAATTCGTCCGTAATCTAAATAAAAACTTATGGTATGTACTTACTGTCGACATTGCTGTCGATTTTAATAGCAGTGACAAGTTTATTAAACTTCTCGATACAGGTTTGCAGATGATCATCTTTAGAAATGTTGCGTCTATTTAGACACTTCTTGCATAGTGGACAACATACATTTTTCTTGAGTAAGATTGTTCCTATACACGTTTTGCAGAATGAATGGCCACATCGTGTTTTTGTAGGTTCTGTCATAGGCTCCAAACTGAAACATTATAAAATAGAGAGTGGTTACTTGTAAATGCTTTATCTTAAATGTTAAAATAAAATTTGAACTTGTACAAAAATAATATATAAATCATAATTAAGTGCATATATATTATCTAAATATTATAAATTTATATTTGAGATGTTTCTTAATACAGTTCTTTACTTGCACAATGATAAAGTCTATAAGTGAGTTTAATCTTTAATAAAACTTGGAACTTAATTAATATTATAACTGAACTTAACATTATATTTCCCATAAAAAATACTGATCATAATAATTACTTATAAATTGTATCATTATATTTTAAAAAGTTGATAGATTTTGAATTTATATAAAATACAATTGATTACATGTATATATATTTATTTTTGTCTATCTTTGAAATGTTTTTTATTAATGTATATTTCTTTGTTCAATAAAAAATCAAATAAGCTTAATGCAAGATTTGATTAATCGACTTGACATTAATTCACAAAACAATTGAATTAATGTTACGTCTCTCAAAGAATCATAGTAATTACTTGTAAATATCATATTTTAAAAAGTTAAAGAATTTTGACTTATACTAATAGAACTTTGACTTATCCAAATATATAAAACTGACTACATATATATTCTTTAAATATCATAAATCTATTTCTAAGATATGTTTCTTTGTTCAAAGATTTCTTTGTTTACTCTGGATAGATTTATAGGGTTGATATGAGTTTAACACTTAATGGGATTTGATGTTTAATTGGAATTTAATTGACATTAGGACTGAATTAAGGTTTCATCTTTCATAAAGAATCAGTGAATACCGACTGCTTCGATCAATTTGATTCATAATTGCTATGAGATACACTGGACACTTGTTGCACTGCTCGAATCCTAACCTATATTTGTCTCAGTCATTATGCGCGAGAATAACAAGTCGATCACGAGAATGCAGATCGCGTAGACGAATTTATTTTTATTTTGACGACGTTACAGAGTGTGCAAACTTACCAGATCGTACATTCCAAGCATTTCTGCAGACTTTTCATCGCCTCAGAAAGCCGTTCGATATTGCTCGTCCTCCGATCTGTCATTGTTTTGTCGATCTGTTTATTTTATTGAAATACGAACACCGGTTATTGTTTTAATTTCTCCCAAGAAATATATGACTCTGATGAAGCGAATTTGAAGAGGGCTTCGGCCGACACCCTCTCCCGCTTCGAATTAACAAAATGGACTTGACAATGCGCGGGAAAAACGCGACGCCACCACTAATCGTTACGTCATCGATTATTCACCGAATATATTTGTAGTCGGATTCGCATTCACGGATCGCGCGCGTGCAGATGTGTTATCCGATCGAAACCGAGTTTTTTTATCATCTTTATATAGGGCGATATTCATAGTTTATTTCGACTTTATATTTAAAAGTTGTTTTAAGTTAAGTTTTGCATGATCTCAACATATTTCCAACTAATAAGTGATATATCATCTCGAAATGAAACGATTTTGGCAGAAATGTAAGTTTTTTTTTTATAAATTATTCTACTATTCCTTCTCTAAATATTTATGTAAAAGTTGAGCCCAATAATTCTCTGAGCAGTTTGGAAATTATTTAATTTTTAAATTTACATTAATTTTTTTATAAAAAGAAAATCTCTGGCAGCTGAATTGACGCTGAAAATAATGGCATATTTGTTTTAAAATTGTTTAATAGTCTAATAGTTGTAATTGATTATTTTTATATTAAATTATTTGGAATTTATAATAACTTATTAAAATTTTTATATAAATTATTTAATTTTTTTACAGGGAATATTCATAATCAAAAACTTTCTTTGTCATTAATTAAGAAAAATGTTAATTTACTTACATTCTTTTTTATTTATCAAAATGTTAACATTAGTTTACGTTTTGACTTCTTTACAATCCAAATCTGTTAATTTTATGTTAAAACCTATATGCTCCTTTTAAATTTTGATAATTTGTTGTTACAACAAAAAACTGATTCATATAATGAACTTTTCTTATAAGAATACAATATACTAATGTCCAATTCCATCAATATAGATTTTATATATAGATTTTTACTTTAATTTCGGTTTAACTTGCTCTTCATCTTTCTCTAATTCTTAGAACTAGAAAAAGATGAATAAGTTGAACCGAGACTACGATCCATTTAGCGCTACAAAAGCTTCGAAACGTTTGATTAACCAATCGAAACAGAGAATTCTATGAATTGACCAATCAAAAGATGCTTTATAGCATCAAGTGGACTGCACCCCGAGATTAAAGTTAATCTACGTTGGTGGAATCGGGCATAAGGCAGGGCTGCTATCCCTAGAGTACGCTAGAGTGTGCTATATGCGCGCTTTGTCTCAATCGCCTGAAGTAAGCAGCGCGTCTATTTGGGGGGTTCGTTACCGCCACACACACAGCACAACTTTGCAGCTATGTTGCAGCAATATTGCAACAATGTTACTACACATAATTGCAGGATTTGTGTTGTATTGGGCGCTCTCAAAGATAACGCTACCAACACTTCGGAAATGAGATATTAACATATAGCAATATTATTGATAATGCGAAATTATGATGTAAAAACGCTACCGACAGTTGACAACAGTGCTGTCAATTAACTTCTCGAATATTAGCGCAAAATAGCGCTGATAGCGAACTCCTCGAACGTGCCTTAAATCAACGGAGAAGTGATTTGTGACTATAATCGGGTGATTTTTTTTTAATCAAGTGAAATTTTGTAATAAAATCATGTAATTCAATAATATCGAAGTATTGTGAAATTTTATCGATACGTAGGCAATACAGTGGACAGATTCCGATTGCACTGCACCCGACTGAACGTCTTTCAGGTAATCTGCTTTGGATCGATTAAAAGTTCTTTTCAACTTCACAATAGATTTAATATCTTCGATCGAGCGATCGCTTGAAATCAGAGAATAGGATCTTTTATATCAAAATTATCGCAAGCATGCGCGCATGCTTTATTATTATCTCTACTACGTGTAATTAAAATTTTACTTTAAAAATATGTCATAAATTAAATTTTAGAAAATTCAATTTTTCAATTAACAGCTTTTCTGTTTGTTGTAAAAAATATGTTTTTCTTAAACATAATTAATAGTTCTAGTTAACATGTTAATTATAAACATTTCTCTTATTTTTATATTATGAAATATTTGAACAGTTTTTATTCTACGAGATATTTATAATGAAAAATGATATATTTATATACGTATTAAGTTATTAAATCGAACAATGATTATTAGCCAATAAACATTGGCTAATAATCAGCGGATGATAAAATAATTCATGGTATTATTTAATAAATTGTCGCATAGAATTCTATTAATTATTATTGATAATAGTTTCTTATTATTTCATGTACTGTAATATTATTTCATGTACTAAATGTAGAACGATAACTCAAACACAGCGAATAATTATCGTACTTTATTAAGTGATGAATGATATGTTGCACGATATATTACATGTTCCAAATATATATATATATATATATACTTTTTTAATATAAAATATTTTACTATTAGCAATAAATTGATGTATTAAAGTCTAGAATTTTTTAATTGTTAAAATTATCTAATAAGATACATATATGAGATCAATACATTTCAGTCATAAATTAATTGTGTGCCATTTTTGCCATTTTAAAACCAACAGAGCAAATCGCAGTGATAAGTATCGAATATACAATACAGACTCGAAAACCCGTTTTAATCAAAATAAATTTTGAAAGATTAATCAAGAAACATGAGGAGAACGTTTCTAGCGGTAGTCAAACAGTCGGTGGAATTCAATGCATTTCGAAATTAGCGGTAGCAATAATACGCGCGGGCGGTTTGATTCGAAAATATTGAGCCACGGTATGATGGCACGGTGGTCGTGCAGCAATTTTATAATGGAGAGCACGACGTTCCGCGGTGTTTCGTGGATAGGAATATAATCTTACCTGCAGCCAGCCAGGATTCATACTGACGCGCTCATGCATAAGCCATTTACTGGTTTACGGAAATGTCGAGAGCGCGCGCGACTCGCTCTCTCGAAAGCGAATTTATACATTATTCGCCGGCGATTATATAGGATGCCGCGTTTCGCGGAGGCCACTCCCGACGTGGGTCGTTTCAATTATTCGTATGCCTTCGCGATGCAATCCGCCGATACAGGAAATTTTCGGTCTTCCGCGGTTAGCCATGCAGACGTCCGTGGCCGCGCCTCGCGGAGGAAGCTCCCCATGAAAAATTCCTCGCGGTTTCGACGGTTTATTAATTTGTACATGCGTACAAAACGTTTAAAACAATAGAGTAAACTCGCGAAACAGCAATTACGTTGTGACACTTTAACCGTAAAACGCGCGCATAAATTTGTGCAAAATTATATGCTTTCATCTTGCATTTCTTATTTCGTGTGAAAACACATACATCAACATACATTTATTCATATTAAATTCAGTTCTCGCCACTTTCAACAACACACAAGTTAGGAAAAAATAAATTTAGAGGGGAATATTCTGGAAGACCTGAGCTTTCCTTCCTAGTTTGCTTCAAATATGCATCTAATATGAAATATTATTCTCTCTTTTTTTTTTTAAAGGACCTTCGCTCCAATGTGCAGCATTAACTATTGACAGTTTTGACGTACGCGCAAGATTCAACGATGTAGCATGGTTTCTCACGGAACGACCTGTTGATGAAGTATGGGGTGGTTCTTTCTTGCCAGTATTTTGTTGCTTTCCTTATGCGGTAAGTGTTAAAAGCATGATTCAGGTAAAATAATACATTGTCAAAGTTTTACATCACGCTGTCGTTGCTTACACTTGCAAGCATTTAAAATAAATATATTATTGTAAAGTCGTTTCACACTCTGCATAACATGCGGAAAGAAACTGTTTTGTAACTCTATTAAAATTAGAATTTCAAAATATAAATATATTTTATGTATTGCTTTATAACTATAAATTTGTTTTATATATTTTTAAATGCCATTAAATGTATTGTATATTTTTTATATTATTTTAACGTGAGCGTTAATTTCGCTCTTAATAATTCATCCAGTGAACTGCGATTTACGTATTAATTTCTGAAGTTACAAAATAAAAATCTTGTTCTCAATCACTTGTAGAATTATGCAATCAAAAATTCAAACGGCATTAGGAAAGCGTAAGCCTTGTATGTGAACGAAAAAAGCAATTTCTGTGATGATTGGTTACAACTAAATTGATATAAATTCAATAACTCGCCCAATCTCGATACAGATTGCCGGAGGTTGATTCTAAATTATACTTCGTTTAAAATTATTGATTTTCTATTCGCGGTTAGACTTTTGGTGTTGTTTCTCGTACCGCGACAAATCAAATTTTAATCTGCATATACAGATTCCTGGATATTACGGATGTAGAATAATAAAAAAAAGTTTCCGTCGTAAAATTTATATTCTTCAAACCGCTAACACGACTCTGCATTAAGGATGCTGCGAAACCGTCAATCACATTTTTCGAAAACCTGACGGTAAATTAATTTTTTATGTTACGTTAAAAGAAAAAAGAAACCCTCTTAACACTCTTGGCACGAATGCATGTGACGAAAGTGGCACTTGACAATCGTTTATTCACGTTTTAGTAACTTTACATTGCAATTAAATCCCATGGCGCGTATGAAAAATATGTTAAATCTCTTGAATCACTTAAATTTCTTGAAAAATAAGTCGCGCAGACACGGATTAATGACGTTTAAAGCTGGAAAATCCTCTATGTATTGAATATTACAATTATCATGTATTTAATCATGTTTAGCAATATTGTTGGTACAATCAGTGAATTGGAATTTTTAATCCTTCCTTTTGTTACCATGATCAGTGATTGCCTGATATCTGTTCACAGCGAGTGGACCGTAAAATGCAATTTCAAAATAAATTTGGTGATGTGTAATGCACTTATTGTCCGTGCTCAAATTTGCTGAAAAGTGGATTAAACGATTTTCGTGCGATTACACACTCACGATACTTATATGTTTCTTATATTTTGCACATTTTTTTCAAAATTGAAAAAACCTCATTGATTACATATCATTATTTTTATATATTTGTTTTAACCGGAGATTTTTTTCTCGATCACACACATAATCTTTATGTTATTTGAAAAAAAATACACAGTAATTTTGAAAATGTAAAAATTTAATATTTAAAATCAATAAGTAAGATAATATATAAATGTGAAAAAAACATTTTTATTCCGTATTTGCATTAAAATTTTGTTCAGAGTTCCCAAATTATTCATAAAGACAAATCTGAATATCCATCCTCTATTTCATATTGAAAAGACACGGTTCGCTAAATTCGCTTTGCAAAAAGAATGCAACAGGTTTTGTAGCTAGTGAATCTCAATATTCTCGTATTCAAAAGAATAGGATTATTGAACAGGCAAAATTGGTATTCGTATTATTTTTCTTTTATTATATTTCAGCAAACCTCACTTATTTTTCCATTTATAATTATGAAAAATTAATATTAGTATAGTAAAAAATTTTAATATTTTTAATATTTTTTTATATTTTTATGTAACTGCTATTCTGACATTTACGCATGAATGTTTCGGCAGATAAAACAATATATATGCAATATGGAATAAAATTTTTTTTTCTCCGATATTCTATATTATTTATTAATATGTTTAAAAAATTTAACCTGTAAAAACTTTTTTAATTAAAAATGATATATGGAGAATATCGTCTTTTTCCTCGATGACAAATCCATCACGCTTATTTAAATATGAAGGAGTAAATATAACAAGGAATGACCGGCTATTATATTATTATATTCTATTATATTATTTTAATTTAATTATTTCATTAAAAATTTAATTACGATATTACTCTGAGATATAATTATATATAATTATCATTATATAATTATCATTTAATAAGTACATTATATTAATAATTGTGGAATTAGAGCCATGTAATTAATAATCGTATAATTATAACAATTTAGTATATTTAGCAAAATTCGCTGCAATTATAGAATTTTGATTTATCTGTATCTCTTTATTGTTGTTGTAATCATTATCGTCCACGTTGAGCTCAAAATGAGATTCATCACTCATCTCTGTAAATTGGCTGTCAATCCAACGTCATCCCTCCCGCTCTCTCAATAGCGAATTGAAATCCTCTCGAGCCTTAAGTATATGCAGTTGTGAAAGAGATACGCTGATATAGAGAGGAAAATATCACTTTGATGTTCTTATATTCCGATTTTGGATTCGCTGGTATTGAATTGTCTCCTGTCCCTTATTGATCACGATAATCCGTAATTGCTAATTAAAGCAGGAATAATCGATGAAATATTAATGGAAACCTTTTCACCGCAAACTTTGCGAAGCAATTTATACGATCCTCTGATCCTCTTTGCATATTCACCTACCTGAAAAATCTTTCGCATGGATACCTTCTGCTCCATTACATCGCTCCTTCGCATATCTAACGCTAAGATCGATTCTCTCAGAATTCTAATGAGACTTATCCTATATATATATATATATATATATATATATATATAT